GGAAGGAAGGGAGGGAGGAAGGAAGGGAGGGAGGAAGGGAGAGAGGAAGGAAGGAAGGGAAGGAAGGGAGGGAGGAAGGAAGGAAGGGAAGGAAGGGAGGGAGGAAGGAAGGGAGGGAGGAAGGGAGGGAGGGAGGGAGGAAGGGAGGGAGGGAGGAAGGGAGGGAGGGAGGAAGGGAAGGAAGGAAAGGAGGAAGGAAGGGAGGGAGGAAAGGAAGGGAGCGAGGGAGGAAGGAAGGAAGGGAAGGAGGGAGGAAGGAAAGGAGGAAGATAAGGGTCTTTAACATGCCCACCCAGAGGTAAGCAGGCCCAGCAGTGGAAGACAGCTCTGCTCCATGAGGGCCTCCAGGACCCGGTTACCTTGTTTCTCCACCATCAACTGCAGTAGGTTGTATAATAGAAGCTGGTTCACTAGTATCTTCTCCTTCCATCCCTTAGGAGAGGGAAGGCAGTAGAGGAGAAGCAAAGCCATTCCTTTTTATTATTTTTTGTTTTTACAAATTTTATTTATAGAAAAAATATAACTCAATATGATAAATATAGTAATAGGTAACGTTTTAAAATTTTGTTTTCTTGTCTTTTTTTTTATTACAAGTATTTTATTGTCAAGTTGGTTCCCATATAACACCCAGTGCTCATCCCCACAAGTGCCCTCCTCCATGCCCCCTCCCTCCTCCCCCTTCCCCCCCCACATTCCTTTTTAAAGGAGTGTAATTAGAACTTGAATACATGGCTTCTATCCCCCCCTCATTGCTGAGATCTTAGTCAAATAACCACCCACAGTTGAAAACGAGGCTAGAAAATGTGACTCTAGCTAGGAAGCCATGTGCCCAACTAAAATTCAGTGGACTCTGTTATCAAAAGGGAGGAGGAAAGAGTGGACGGTGGAATCCATTAGCAGTCTTCCACAGGTATCGTCATGGAAACTAGTATTGTTTCCCTGACTCTAGGACCCTATTGATTGTAAAACCCATCATTTTATGTACCACTGAGTAAGAAAAAAAACATTCTATTAAACATATTATTAAACATATTGTTTTCTCATTAGCTTAGTTGTAGGACACATCCCAATTTAAAAGGTGTTAAAATGTGAAAAAATACGTGCCTCGGTATAGAAGAAATACAGTATCGGAAAGACTGAGGAAGAGAAAGTGACCCAAAGACATTCATTTTGCAGTTTTCCTCTGCGTGTGTATGTGTGTGTGTGTGTGTGTGTGAGAGAGAGAGAGACAGAGACAGAGAGAGAGACAGAGACACTTTCCTTAGAGCAAGCATAGACAGGAGATATCAAGCTTTGTTTGACCCATCAAGGGTAACGCTCAACTAGGTGACTGACAGAGTACTATCAGTGTGAGCGTGCTTGGCGTCAAATTCCTGTGACTGCTGGCAGAGAGACTTTTGTCTCAAAGTCTTGGGGGAAATTTTGCCTAAATTTCCACTCAATCTTTACCAGATATGGAGTTGAGTAAGCAGAATGTAGGGGTTCTGTCTCTACTAGCCTGAGCTCTAACTCAGTAGGACAAAGACTGAGGGCAGCACTCCGAGGGAACAGGCGTGGCCTAGGCACTTGACTTCTTGCTTCACACTCAGTCATCACCCAAACATTGGGTGACCAGCCACTTGGCGCGGTGCTAGAGTGCAGTCAGTGCCCTCTTGCAGCCCCAGAGCTCATGGAGGGAGAAAGAGAAATAGACGTGCAGGTGAGTAAAGCCACAGATCGTGCGTCGTCAGTTCTACCAGAGGTTAAGAAAGACCTCCTGGTGGAGCTGGAATCAGGACTGGGGAAGTCAAAGGGTAGAGGAAACCATGTGCAAGAGCGTGGGAATTGTTGCGTGAGGGCACTGTGGTAGGATTCCTTTGGCTGCTAGACCAGAGCAGCTGTGGTTACGCAAGGTCTGTGGTTCCGCTTTGTTTCCCTTATTAGCATCTTATACGTAGTAGGCAAACAGCAATATGTGTTTAATTCAATTAAAGAAAAGACCAACCTCTTGGATGGCCGAGTAGAGATGAGCTGTATTTTCCTGGCTCAAAAAGATGCTGGGTTCCATGAAATGGATGGAAGCAAATTATCTCTTTGGTGCTGTGCTTACTCTTGAACTTAATAGTATGTTGTTTGTTAACATCAGGTTGATATTCAATATAGAAATACTCCTGTGGATCCCCCCTGCTTTTGCCACTTTCACATTTCTTTTCTCCGGTTTCATAAATGAACAAATGTATTTACTTTAAAACACACCATTTTTCCTTGGTTAGTCAGACAGATTAGAATGTGGCACTGCTGATACATGCCCGGGTATCAGTGCGGCAACTACGTCGTGGTGAATTTGACCTTTTAAAACAGCTAGGGAATCAAACCTCTTCATTCTCAGGTTTAGGACATAGTAGTGGAAAGACCCTGGTCAGTTGAGTCAGATCGTTTGACTTGGTGGCTTTGAATCTGGTCAATGAAAAGCTATATAATATGTAGGTATTTCTTGCTGTATTTGCTACTGAAATCTGCTTCTCTTACATAGATCACTGTCACAGATGAGGAAGTTAGTAACCCATCCTTTTTAGATCTGGTGAGGACTCCCCAAATGAGGAAGTGCACACTTATTCTTATGTTTGCTTGGTAAGTCTGACTTGTGATGAGCTCAAAACCTTGTTACCGAATTTGTGACGTGTCCCCATCTGCAGGTCAGGCTGAAGTTATGTCTTACTTGATCTCCGTTATCTTTCAATATCGCCCCAGGTTCACAAGTGCGGTGGTTTATCAAGGACTCGTCATGCGCCTGGGGATTATAGGAGGCAACCTGTATATCGACTTCTTCATCTCGGGAGTCGTGGAGTTGCCTGCAGCCCTCTTGATCTTACTGACCATTGAGCGTTTTGGACGCCGCCTTCCCTTTGCCGGAAGCAACATAGTGGCAGGGGTGGCGTGTCTTGTCACTGCATTCTTACCAGAAGGTAATGGGCCGCCGAATCTGGGGACACTCGAGACCTTGAAATAGTCTTAAATCAAAATAATCAAGAATGAGGAATGGCTTGTCCTCAGAAAATGTACCACTGCATCCAAGTCTGAGTGCTAGGCAAGCTGTAGTGATGGCATTCAGTTTTCTGCTTAATCAGTGTAACGACTCTGAGTGTAGTGATTGGTTCCATAGACTTTTCGGTTTTCCCACTTCAGGTGCATTTATGGATGCAATAGATGTCGTGCAAAATCTAGCTTGTAGTCATGTAGTTTGCTGCTGATTTATTTGACTTATTTTCATGATATTGCTGACCACATTTACCATATTTCCTGAGTGTCCACCATATCACTGGCCCCATGCAAAACACCAGGGTTACTAAAGGAGGAAAGGAAGACATTTCTTGACTTCCAAAGGTTCACAACCTAGTAAGAGATATAGATACTTTATTTTTAAAATTTTTTCTTCCAAGTTTTTGTTTATATTCCACAATAATTTCAAGTGTAGAATTTAGTGATGTATCACTTACGTGCAACACCCAGTGCTCATCACAAGTGCACTCCTGGGGTTCCTGGGTGGCTCAGTCGGTGGAGCTTCCGACTTTGGCTCAGGTCATGATCTTGAGATTCGAGCCCCACGTCAAGCTCTGTGCTGACAGCTCAGAGCCGGGAGCCTGCTTTGGATTCTGTGTCTCCTTCTCTCTCTGCCTCTCCCCTGCTCAAGCTCTCTCTCTTTGTTTTTTTTTTTTTTAATGTTTTATTTATTTTTGAGAGAGAGAGATATTGTCAGAGGAAGATGGAGTCACAGAATCCGAAGATAGGCTCCAGGCTCTGAGCTAGCTGTCAGCACAGAGCCTGATGTGGGGCTCAAACCCATGAACCATGAGATCATGACCTGAGCTGAAGTCGGACGCTCCACCGACTAAGCCACCCAGGTGCCGCCCTCTCTCTCTTTCTTAAAAATAAATAAAAACATTAAAAAATAATTTTATAATACAAGTGCCCTCCTTAATACCAATCACCCATTGAATCTGTCCCCCCACCTGCCTACCTCCCCTCCAGCAGCCCTCAGTTTGTTCTCTGTAGTTAATAGTCTGTTCTTTGCCTCTCTTTCCCACCATGTTTATGTCTTATGTTTTTAAGTTGCACATATGACTAAAATCATGTAGTTTTTGTCTTTCTGTCTTATTTCACTTACCATAATACTCTCCAACTCCTTTCACATTGATGCATTTAAAATGGCAAGATTTCATTCTTTTTTATGGCTGAGTAGTATTCTATTGCATATCTATATGATATCCAGTATCATCAGTCGATGCACATTTGGAGTCTTTCGATAACTTGGCTATTGCTGATAATGCTGCTGTAAACATTGGGGTGCATGTTGGGATATAGATACTTTCATGCTTTCACAACTCACTATGATGAATGAAATAATGGAATTATTTACAGTTGACCTTTGACACAGGGGTGGGGGTGCTGACTCCCTACATGGTCGAAGATCTCAATATAACTTTTGACTCCCCAGAAACTTAACTGCTAATAGCCTACTGTTGAGTGGAAGCCTTGCCAATAACAAAGCAGTCAACTAACACGTATTTTATATGCGATATGTGTTATATACAGTATTCTTACAATAAAGTAAGCTAGAGAAAAGAAAATGTTATTAAGAAAATCATAAGGAAGAGAAAATACATTTATAGTACAACGCTGTGAAAAATGTCTGCCTGTGGGTGGACCCATGCAATTTAAACCTGTTGTTCAAGAGCCAACAGTACAAAATTTAGAAAAAGAAATCTCTCTGAAGGCTCTAAGTGATTAAAAAAAAATAGGTGCAAAGAGTGGTATGCATGGAGTAGTCAGGAAAAGCTTCCTAGAGGCGAGAACTAGGCACATATGAAGGAAAAGAAACTTACTGGACAGGAGTGCCTGGCTGGCTCAGTCAGAAGAGCAGGTGACTTGATCCCAGGGTTGCAAGCTCATGCCCCACATTGGGTGTAGAGATGACTAAAAAAATAAATAAGCTTTAAAAACAAAGAAAAAGGAAATGTACTGGACAGAAAGGAAGGGTAGGAGAGATTTGTCCACAGTACAGCATAGCTCTCAGAAGAATGAGCCATCTTCGGGGTTCCTGGGACCACGCATTCTTTGTTATTGCTGGAATATCCACAAAAAGGGGCTGAGGATCGCCTGCCACCAGCAGTGACTGGCCTCATGGGCAATGCCAGGAGCTTGGGCATGGTCCTGTGGTCCTGTGGGCTTCCTCCTAGCCACGTCAGGTTGGATGGTGGCAGTGAGGAGAGAGATGCCAAGAGCAGTAGTTAAGGTTGTGGCAGGCGGCCCGGATGGGAAAGAGTGATTTCAGGGAGATGTCAGAGTTCATGGGGGCTCGAGACCAGTGCACGCTGCAGAGGTGGGGGGTGACCCCAGATGCACGGTTAACACAACCCATGTTATCTCTGCCGCAGGACACAGCAGACACTGGGCAGGGAAGCCCTTTAAAGTCCCAGGGAATGTGTCGGAATTAGAGCAAGTTCATTATTTCCGTGCTCCAGGGTATGTGGGCTGGGGGGTACTGAGAGGGCTGATTCCCTGGTAGTGCTTGTGTCAGCCCCAAAGAGGCTGTCTTTTCTTTGGAGAACCACCTGAGGATCAAGAAAGAAGGGATAGTATTGTGAAAGTGAAAATAGACGTTTACAGATGAATTTATTAATGATGTGAAGGTTTATGAAGTCCCCAAACCTTATTAAAACAAAATTACAGAACTGTCCCTCTTCAGACCAGAAAATTAAGATGTAAAGTCTTCTGTCTTATTGGAATGGTTGATGATAAACAGAACTGATTATTTACACGGATCTCGTTTTCCGTGAGAATACCAGTTTCCTAGAGCGATAGTAACAACGTACCACTCCCTGAGTGGCTTGAAACAACAGAAATGTATTCTTTCACAGTCTTGGACCCTGGAAGTCTGAACTCCCAGTGTGGGCAGCCCCATGCTCTGTCTGAAGGCTCTGATTGAGAATCCTCTGCCTCCTCCTAATTTCTGGCCGTTGCCACGAACTTGGGTGTTCCTTGACATCGTTCCAATGTCTGCCTCCATCTTCATGTGACTCTCTCTTCTCTGTGTCATCTGCAAAGATCCATATAGACATACAGTCACATTCTAGGTTCTGGTTGCACATGAACTCTGGAGGACACTATTCAACCCACTATACTGAATTCAAACATTCTAAGAGCTGAGGAATTTTCGTAACTCAGATTGATCAGTACATGTCTATGTAGTATCTATTAATCATCACCACTAAATTAGGAGTGGGAACAGAGACTGAACAAGATAAATGTAGTTCCTGTGCTTGTGAACAATGCACAATATAACTAGGAGCGTGGCAAATGGGGAACACAGGAGACCTCACTGTTGCTTCCCTTTTTGACACTGTATCATTTTGGGTTTAATTCCCTACAGCGAGGTCTTCTCATCGCATATGAGATAGGAATGAAGTATTTATTGCATATGAAATTAGGAAGATGTGGAGAAAGGTTAATGATTTATGGGTGCCCCATCATTTCGTGATATAATCTTTCCCTGGAAAATTCTCTCTGGCCCCAGACCGGTTGGGCTGATTTTGCTGTGTTCTGCATTCAGCGTGATCCCAGTAAGCATTCTAGGCCATGTGTCCACACCAACGTTGGAGGAACCAAATGTGTGGGAATCAAGCTATTTTGTAGGGAATGCTCATAAATTGAAAAATATAAGGCAAAGAATAGACTTTTCTGTCTGGTCTGGTCAGTTTTATTTCGAAGACCTAATTTCCCGATTTCAGCTTTAGAAGTGTTCTCAGTGATACTGAAAAGTAATTTCTCTTATTCTGGACACATCTTATGTGTACATTCACAGATTTAGCTGCTTTTATAAAAGCCTACATCAGCCATGATTGACAATAAGTTCAAATCCCTGAAGCTCATTGTGAGCACCAAGCGTTAACAGAGGCTCCTCCTCACTGAAGTTGGGAGTCCTAACTTCTATTTAAGGGAGGCTTTGGACCTGGTTACTTGGGCTGCTGGATTAACATTAGAAAGACTTTTCCTCTCAGTCATTCCTGACATCATGAACGGGAGGAGGGCCCTGCGCAGAATGCAGATTAGCCTTTTAGAGGAATAAGCTCTAAAATTATCTCCTGAAGAACAACTTAACCAGCTTTGCCTCCGCTGAGCACAACTTTCCATGGTCTAAAGAATGACATTCTGGAAAAAGAAAGTCTTTCTGGCTGTCTCTTCACTTGAGGCACTGCTTTTGACCCAAATTTCTGAATTCTAATTGAAGTCTGAGAACTAGGTTTTCTTTTTCCATAGCCGTCTGCATCTTTCCTTTGGGTTTGTTTAGGATGGGTATAAACCTAGCTGTTTTGATAAGTAGTCTTTTTGAAAATAGAATTTTGCCTTTTATTTCTCTTGAAGTGAAGAGTAAGCCAGTGCATTGTAATTTACATATCTCCACTACGACTTTTCACTACGTTTTATTTCAGAACTCAAAGCAGATGGTGTAGTCAGAGGGGATATAAAATAGTGTTTATTTAAAATCCTGCATCCTTCCTTCAAAAATTGAGGTATTATTCCCAGTAATCTGCAGGGCCTTGACCAAATCCCTATTCTGAGGGACCATCTTTCTCTGTGTTCCCAGGCCTCCACGGAGCATAGGTCCAGTGTCACTACTCATTTTTAAATTACCTGTGTGTTTTTTTGTCATTGTTCCTGACAGGTGTCTATTGCCTCTCTGAGACAAACTTAGCATATTACTGGGATGGATGATCAGAAGTTTTTGTTTGCATTCATACTATCCATATGTAATTTACACTTCCTAACAAATCGCTTTCGCTTCACTTTTTAGTTAATGAAGAGTACAGTGCCTTTGGGACTTCTGTTTTATTACACATTTCACCAAAATGTCTAGCTCGGGGTCATTAGATGGTGGCTTCTGCTGCTCGGAAGGAGAGTCTTTCAGAGTAAAGTCAGCGTGTAGGAGAAACCAGGGCTCCCCAAGGGTGGCCACTTGACAGTGTTTTCTGAACATATTGCTGAATTGACCTGTTAGCTGTCTGTATTCACTGAGCTAACCACATGGTGTGTGTGTGTGTGTGTTTTAATTTGGTTTCTTGGTTTTCATTTGGTTCTTTCTGGCAAACAGTCATAGCCTCATTCGTAAACTTAAATTGCCATGAAATTTATCAGCGGGGCTCACTTATAGAGTAGTCTTGATTCAGTAGGAAAAAAACCCCCTCTAACTTAAGAATTTAACTTGGATAATCAAGTCATTTCCACAGTAGCAGGCAACATTCTTTGCAGCCCGAGAACAGCGAGAGGTTGCCCGGTTGGGCTTGGACCCAGGGAATCTGGGCAAGGGCTCCCACTTTCCACTCCCTGGCCCCTGGCACGGCACCACCTGCCCATTGAAGGCTGGGGTGGAATGCACTTCCTAGTCCCCCTCCCTGGCCTTCATGAAAAGGCAAAGCCTAAATAAAACACATGTTTACCCCTGTTCCGGGCCAGGGCAGATGGCAGCCTAGCACATCAGTGCAATTCTGATATTCCTCACCCCCTGATGTAACTATTAGCATGAGATCTACAGGTGTCCTCATCTGGGAAAAACGTCAAGTACACCAGGATGTCCTCGGCCAGTTTGCAATCAAAATGTAATAAACCAGAGCCTCCCAGCAGTGATCTGGATTCTTAAACCATCTTTTTCGGTGCTTGCCCTCCTAGGCGATGGTTTTATTTCTTCAGTCTTAGCTTTCTTTCTTTTTAGTTGTTTGCTATTCTGTAGAGAAGACACGTGAATCTACCAAGCTTGATTCTCTTCTTTCATCCTCTGCATTCTTGCCTACTTTTCTACCAAAAACTCGTATGTTCGGGAATGAGCATTAATTCTTCTACGAGACAAGAGGACCATTTAGTGCTGAATGAGCATAAATAAATACGGATATAAAAGGGGAACATTTTATTTTGAGAGACGGAAGTCAGAATGTCCTCACCTTTGCTTGAGAGAGCAGATACGTGCTTGTCCCTGCAGTCACATACCCTCAGACCCATGTCCACTAAAGATGGATGGCATAAATTGCACAGCTCTTAAAGACATTTAGAGCACTGACTTTTTAAGGCAAAGATGGTTTATTCCTTCTTCCTTTAAAACTCAAAAGAAAGAAAATATTTAATGAAGGAATTTGGCCTTGTTCCCTTAGTTACTTTGGAGGAATGGAGAATCTCCTCACATAACCGGCGCAGCCCCTAAAACAGTTCATTTTTAAATGGCTGAACCAACTGATATTTAAGAATCTGGCCTCTTCTAGATGATTTTCTGGGAAAGTTGCAAGCTTGGGAATGCGGAAGACATAAGAAATATACACCCTACCGATAACACAAGGCATAGATGTTCCCTTCTGATGGTTCCAGTCCCCAAAGCCTTTGCTACCCTCTAGGAAGCAACATCAGCTTCAGGTCCAGATTCTTCCTGGTTTGCTTGGAACAGATGTTCTGTGCGTTATCACTAAGGGATGGGAACAGAGAGAGAGGCCAAATGGGCACCAGGCTGCAGTAATGGTTCTCAAGGGCCCAAGTAAAGACGACCACCTTCCAGACAAAAGGCCAGGGCACATGGGCCCCCTAGGAAGGCAGTGCCTGGAGCACTGTTTTCAATATAGTGGCTGCTTCTTGAGTTGTATTTCCATCATCTAACCCTGCTCAGAAAGTCAACTACCACACTAAATATGAGCTATCATCCCATTGTGTTGCTGTTAAAACTTGGCTACAATATGAGAAGACATCTGTCACTTGTGCTTAAAATTAGCAAAGACTTAGGGCTGGGAGAAGACTAAACAGATCCCTTTTGTTGTTTTGTGATATTTCATTGAATGCAAACCCCTAACTCTTCCCTTCCACATTTTCTATTTGCAGGAATACCGTGGTTGAGAACCACAGTCGCTACCCTGGGAAGACTAGGGATAACCATGGCCTTTGAAATTGTTTATTTGGTAAACTCAGAATTGTACCCAACAACATTACGGTAATTCCAACCCATATGTCCTGGTTTCTCCTAAGTAATTCTGCAGCCAAATGTTTTGACGTAGAAATCATGAAATAGTTTCCTTAACTTGGTGATATATTAGCCTGTGCTGAATTCAGCCAGTAAGAGGATCCACTTTGAGTTATAGCTGCTTTCTGCATTGCTACCTTCCGCATTTTTTTGATAGAATTATTTCTCATATCAGTATCTTTATACATAGCTCTGGTTTTGTGGGATCAGAAAATCTGGTTAGCGTACTTGCTTAGACGTGAGTTAAAACTGTGTTCATGAGCATCACCCTGTTTAAAGGCTATAGCTTCTGTTCTGACCACATTCCACGTCTTGCAGCTGTGAGTGATTAATGAAGGGCAAAGTGAAACAGTGAGCGTGGGCTGCACGTTGGCCTCCTTTCCTGGGGGAAGTGTTCATGGACACAGATTACTGTCAAGTGAGGGTGCCAAGGTGACCCATAAGCATTGCAGAGCGGGCTGGGTAGTGAGCCGCTGGTGAGGGAATGATTTCCACCAATGCTGTAGACCACCTGGCTCTCCTGAGTGGTGACTCAGCATTTGCCCAGATGTGAAATGGAGCAGAATGGAAATGGTGTGCTTCAAAATAGGAGAGTAGGTAGTAGTTCTCCAAGTTAAAAACTATAGAAACAGAAAATATTACTAAGATTGCTTTGTTACTTATGTACCTGAATGTTTTCCTTATCTTGAATATATTTAAATATTTTTGTAATTAAAACAATGTTTTACTCTGCAGAAACTTTGGAGTTTCTCTCTGCTCAGGTTTATGTGATTTTGGGGGAATCATAGCCCCGTTTCTGCTCTTCCGGCTAGCGGCCATTTGGCTAGAACTACCTCTTATCATTTTTGGTAAGAACTTATTTCATACATTATTCTTTGTATTAATAAAACTCTATAGTGATTACTAGGTTTGCTATTAATGAGCTCATTCAATTTTTTATTTATTTTTTATTTTTTTAATATTTTTTATTTATTTCTGAGAGAGAGAGAGAGAGAGTATGAGCAGGGGAGGGTCAGAGAGAGAGGGAGATACAGAATCTGAATCAGGCTTCAGGCTCTGAGCAAGCTGTCAGCACAGAGCCCAATGCAGGGCTTGAACCCACGAACTGTAAGATCATGACCTGAGCCGAAGTCGGACGCTCAACTGACTGAGCCAGCCAGGCGCCCTCATTCAATTTTTTCTATGACAGTTGCTTGAGTTTTGAGTGGCCAGTCTGATTACAGTGATATGTGAAACCCTAAATGAATTCCATTTATTTTATGTGAAAATGTCGTGATGAGTCATTACCTTTCTTTGCTTAAGTTCCTAGTTAAATTCCAATACTATAAAACTCTTGATATTGGGGGACCACACCATTAATTTTCAGGGGACCTATTTGGACCTCTGGTTGTTTCAAATAAGTCTACAAACTAATTAGATTTGTAAATACTCTATACCTATTAGATATCGTATCTTCATTTGCTTGGCTGTGAAGCAGTCTGTGCCCAGAATCCCTTGTCCGTGCACTGTAACCTCTGTGATGGTCTTCAAGTTCATGCTGTCCTTCCTACTCCAGTTTCCACAGGCCTCCAGAGGGGATAGCATAGCACAGGGGCTGGGGCTTAGAGTAATTCAGTCCAGTGCTGCTCAAGTGCTGTGCTCCCCTTTCTGCCTGTGTCTCGTACCTGCCTCTACCCCATTCAGCAAGAAAGAACCCAGGCTGGCCCCCTCCCCCTACCTTCCCTCCACCTCGATGCCCTCACTCCTGGTGGAGACTGTGATCCACTTATTGCTCATCAGTTTAAATTGCAATGAAAATATTGAGTCCGTGAGAACATACATCCTGAGTGATGCAAAATCCCTAACCATGCTCACTAGCTGGGGGCGGTAAAGCTCCTAACCACGTGTCATCACCCAATTCAAAAAAAGATTATTGCAAATTATTTAGTGGGATCTGATGAGCAAGCCCACTGTTGACTCTGGCCAGCATGAAAAAGCAAAGAGAGTGCCATTGATCAACCAAGACCAGTGGTCTGGGTGTGGGGGGCTGGGGTGCAGTCCTTCAGGGTCTGAGCCTGGTTTGCAGTCAAGTACTGGGAAAGCCAGCCTAGTGCTGTCCTGCCTGCCCCACCTGCTGAGTATGGCTGGGGAGCCAGCCACACTTCCTTCCTAATCATCAGTCCTATCACAGTATACTAAACACTGAAAGCAGAGGGCGTGGGCGAACACAGCAAAGGGACACCTGATGGAGTGGAGGAGGGGGGAAGAGTGCCCAGCTGAGATCTGAGAGAAGTAGAAATTACCCACATGGGAAGTATGGGCCTGGACTCCAGGCAGTGGGAAGGCCTAGCACCCAAGGGTGAAGCCGTTGTCTGGGAGCCGGGGAGGTAGAGGGCAGATGCAGGATGTATGGGGTGGGAGTGGGAGGTGCGTGGGAAAGAAGGGATGCTGGGGGGCAGGCGGGGCCAGATCACAATCACGAAGGGTCTTGCTGGTCCTGTGAAGGTTTGTTCTTTATCCAAACAGCAGTGTAAGGTAGGAGATCTAAGCTGGGATTGACAGCATTAGGCTTACATTTTAAAAGCAGGATGCTGATGTACAAATGGGTTGGAAGGAGACGGTGCTGGTGGGCCACCAGTTCTGCAGGGAAGGGATCCTGGCTGGGGGCTGGGGGTTAAGGGCATGACACTAGAAGCACTGGGCACTGAGAGATTTGAGAAATACAGTAGTAGTAAAACTGGCAGTGGGCGGGGGTGGTTGGGCCTGGGTGGCTCAATCGGTTAAATGTCTGACTCTTGGTTTCAGCTCAGGTCGTGATCTCATGGTTTGTGAGTTCGAGCCCCGCACTGGGCTCTGTGCTGACAATGCAGAGCCTGCTTGTGATTCTCTCTCCCTCTCTCTCTGCCCCTCCCCTACTTGTGCTCTCTCTCTCTCCCTCCCTCTCTCTCACAATAAATAATCTTAAAGAAAAAAAGTAAAACTGGCAAGAGGGGTGACTGAGAAGGCTCCCTAGAGGGGCTCCCTGGAGGGGCTCCCCAGAGGCAGAGGGAGGTGGGAAGACCAAGTTCCTGGCTGGGAAAAGTGGAGACAGCCAGGCCCTCGTTGGATGAACGCCATAGGAGCTGGCCCACGGGACACGGAGGAACCTGTCTGGGTGTGGGTCACAGGAAGTTCCCGCAAGAAAGCCAGTAGCCTTTGGGGCCTGTGCTTGGGAGAGAAGCGTGGCCCAGTGACAGAGATCTGGAGGCCATCTGAGTGTAGATAACCACTGACGTGGGAGGGGCTGAGACCCCCTCCCCAGGAATGGGACCAGGTTAGAGGAAAGGAGAGGGCCTGGGCAAGACAGAACCCTGATGAGCGACAAAGTGTCCTGCATGGCAAAGGGATCAGAGCCTCAAGGAGGGGAAGAGGGATGCGAGAGGGGTTCAGGGGCCAGAGAGAAGCGGGGCCAGGGGAGGGAAGTGGGTTCACCAGTGGCTGGTGCTGCTGTGGGGCCCGACCAACAGACAAAGTGGGTCTGGAGGGCACAGGGCGGACCACAGAGAGACCAGGCAGGGGTGGTACAGGACCGCGGCCGGCAGCGCCCTGCCAAGGCCAACTGTGAAGTTTTCAGGGATTTTTGAGCCCAGGTGTTAGCATAGCCATTATTCAAACTTCCCTATATTGAATCTATTAAAAACAGGTAATAAATACTCAAACCCCATCACTTCCTAATTCACATACATTTCCCTATTACCTGTGTGCTTTGGACTGCTTTGGTCTGTGTTTCCTTATGGAGGAGATACGATACCACATGGTGCCACTGCCCCTCCATTGCCACCCCCTCGATCTGTGATGTCGTGGCAGAAGCTAGAGATGCCCGTGGTGAGGGTATTCACACCACGGAAATCCACAAACGCTGCAAATCAGGGCTGTATTTTCGGGAGGATTGGTTGGTAAACATTTACCAGCATATCTGTGGGATGTGAAGTTGTGTAGAAAATAGCGGAGGATGGCGTTTCAAGAATTTCGGCTCTAAAGAACAGAAAAGGCAGGGATGGTAACCGGAGGATAATGTGAGGTTGATAGAAGGGTCTGGAAAGAGGAGAATCTGTCATATGGCTCATGCCTCCACCAACCAGTTATAGACACTGGAGCCAGAGGGTTTATCGCTACAGTGAGGAGCCCAGAAAGACTCCAAGAGATGGCCATTGGGATGAAGTGGGGACAAGTCCAGCCATGTAACATGACCCCGAAAGGAAAGGGAGGGAGAGGAACCAGCAAAGTTCTTATGGGTAAAAGGAAGCTGAGAGGAGTCCTGCGTGGTGGCCGCTATTTTCCCCGAGAAGCAGGAGGTGAGGTCTTCCCACTTAGGCACCAGATACATAATAGTGAACCGAGCAAATGAACAGGTTTATGCAAGGGTCCGGGGACAGTGGGACCGCACAGAGTCCAAGGAAGGTAGAGAGCATTGCAAGCAGTGGCAGAGGAAAACTGGAGAGCTAGTTAAGGTAACTAGAGGGCTGCTGCTGGTAAGGGCTGGTGAAGGTTAGCTGGTTAGCTGGTGAAGGCTGAGCTCCAGGGTGAGCAGGAAGGGAGGCCATGGGCCAGCTGTGTGTTCCTCATGTGCTATTGCCTTTCCTTATTCTGTAGGTATCCTGGCATCTGTCTGCGGCGGGCTCGTGATGCTGTTGCCCGAAACCAAAGGTATTGCCTTGCCAGAAACAGTGGATGACGTAGAGAAACTTGACAGGTATTGTATGGAATTCAATGCATCTTAAATACAAGCAGCATTTCAAACTACTGAGGAAAAAAGAATGTGGAGAACATTAAACTCTTGTGGGGGGAAAATAATATCAACCCCTCATCTCACATCCTAAGCACAAGATTCAAAGTTGATTTAGAAGGTTAATAGAAAAAAGGCAAAACTGTAAAAGAATATATTTTTAAAATGTGGTTATGAAGAGGGAAACGTTTCTAAGTAAGGTGTTAAAATTCAGAAAAAATCTAAAGGAAGGGAAATGGGTGATTTGACAAAGTAGAGATAACTTAAATGTGCATCAGTAGGAAACTGATTATGAGGATGATAATATATTCATCATATGGCTTACTATGTAGAAATGAAAAGAAGTGAGATACAACTGTGTAGAATGACATGGTAATATCTTCAGGACTGATTACAAGTGAAAAGTTGCTGAACAGCGTGTTACAGGATTTGTTAAAAAATAAAACCAATAGCAAATCCTCTCTGTAGTTTGATGGGAAGATAGAAGATGGAAAGAGAGAGAAAGAGATGATGGATAGATGGATGAATTGGATGGATGGATGGATGGATGGGTGGATGGATGGATGTGGGTGGATGGATGGATGGGTGGATGGATGGATAAAAATAGATCAATAGAAAGAAGATAGAAAAGGAGGAAGAGAGAGATTAAATTTTGGAGTAGGGCATCTAACTGGTGTGTAGGGCAAGTTAATATCCAACTGATACATAAACGTAAAGAGTTATATCAAGAAAAATTCACACTACACAAATTCTTTCCGATTTCCTCTGCTGGAAATATTTCATAATAAAAATAGGAAGACAGGATATGAATATGAGAGTTTGTAGCAAAAGATCTAATATAGTAATATAGACCCTCTGGGGATAGAAATGAATTGGGTAGAAGACCTCATTTTTACACTCTGTAGACTTGATTATTTGATTAAATTTCTCATTACAACATATGGCCTTGTATTATTTGTATAATTAAAAAGATAATTTAACTGCTGATTTTTTTTAATGTTTTATTTATTTCTAGGAGAGAGAGAGAGACAGCGTGAGCAGGAGAGGGTCAGAGAGAGGAGTCACAGACTCCGAAACAGGCTCCAGGCTCTGAGCTGGCAGTCAGCACAGAGCCCGACGCGGGGCTCGAACCCACGAACTGCGAGATCATGACCTAAGCGAAAGTCGGACACTTAACCGACTAAGCCACCCAGGCGCCCCTAACTGCTGATTTTTAAAAATAAAATCAGTCTTCTAAATAATGGCCTGGAGATTAAAGATGTGGCTCTCTAAACTTAAAAATTTTTTGTATCAAAAATATTTATAAGAAGACTGTAGTGTTAATAACCTGACAGCAGTTATTTTCCTCACATGTAGATTGGGAAGAGGTTAGAAGCTGGCACTTTTTAAGTACCGATGTGATGGGTGGTTTCACACATGTCATTTCATTTAATACTCAAAACAATTTTGTGCAATTACAGTTCTTATCCTCATCCCTTTAAGTACTTGGAAATCTATGCTTAGAAAGGTTCACAGTTGCTAACTAACTTGGATGTAAACTATAATAATAAATAAATAAATAGATTAAAAAAAAAAAAAGATCCACAGCTTTGGAGCGCCTGGGTGGCTTGGTCAGTTAAGCATCCAATTTTGGCTCAGGTAATGCTCTCATGGTTGTTGAGTTCGACCCTGCGTCGGACTCTGAGCTAACAGCTTGGAGCCTGGAACCAGCTTCAGATTCTGCCTCCCTCTCTCTTTTTGGTTTATTATTTTATGCTGTAGACTACTTGATGTTTCCTCTTCAAATTCCCTTTTAATGAGGCACCATCCTCCTCCCCAGAAGTAGGCAACCATTGCTAAGAATTATTTTACCAAACCTTTAAACCTTCATGAATATTTTACCAAACGTTTAAAACTTATACAATGATTTCATTGGGTTTTATTGTCCTGTTTCTTGATGCTATTTTGAAACATAAGATTGATTCATCAGCCAAGAACTTGCCTGAGAAAAGCTCATAAGTGTATGTAAAATAAAACCATCAGCTCATATCTCAGTAGCTGACTTTTAACAGTCAGAGAACAGGTGGGCATTTGCCCCATGAAATAATCCAAACAGATTCTTACTCCTGTTTGGAAATCAAGTGATGAGTAATGACTTATTTCTCATCCAAAGCTCTACCTATATTTCTCCCTAGAGCAATGCTATCTGAAATTTGGAGTGAGATGGAAGATTCTCTTTGAAATACTGCCATTTTGTTAATCAAAAGTAAGAAATTTATAAAAGGTGTTAAAACTGTGTGAAATCCTCTTGAGCGTGATACCATTGTAAGGTCCTGCTTCACTCAAAAGAGAGAAACATTTTACTAATCGTGTCATTTTAGACAATTGCTTGGTTTGTTTCAGAGTTTAGGGACCAGGTCAGGGCGAGTGGCATCCAGTGCTGTCACATAAATAATTTATACGCTGCAATGAAGATTAACCCCTGCCTAGGGTCTGAAAGCAATTTAAAAAAATGGGCCTGATGACAATTTTTTTTTGTTGCCTTTGAATTGGGCTTTTATGAGATGTTATACGTGTGTTTGATCAAAGCCAACTATAATGTTGAGCAGACATTTGTTTAACTTGTTGTATCATGGTTCGTAAGGACATTCTCTTTTCTCCTTGTTTGTTAGTCCATATTCCTATAAATGTGGCAGGAAAAAGAAAACTCAAGTTTCCAGCTCGCACCTTTGAGGTCCCCCTGCCAAAGACAAAAGGAAGGCGCTCTCTAGGTTGACGTCTCTCAAGGAACCAGCGTGCCTTGCAAACACATGTGTGTTGTCCATTTTAGCCTCATTATACCATGTGGCTCCAACTGTTCGTCATACCGTACAAAGACATTCAGACTGCCCAGAGTATTTTTATATAATGTCGGATGAGTTAGGATTTATAGCACTAGGGAACTTTCTGGGAGCACAGAGTATGTGGCTGGTTTAGCAAAGAGCCTGTTGAGCGTGCAGCTTCCCCAGAGTTTTTTTCTTAAGTTGGAGCAGCATCTGTGACCCAGTTACAGAGGGACAAGAGGAACTTTGGCCACCAAATTCTCACGACCGCGTGCTCCATCAGAGACGAAGGATGTGCCAACCAGAGGTCTGGGAAAAGTGTACAGAAGTGAGTTCATCAAACCTGATCAACGAACTAAAGCTCTGAGCTGAGTGTTCTGAAGATACCAGAGAGGATGAAGATTGGGAACTCCGCTCGTGAAGAAACTGAGTCTGGGGACTTTGGGCCACATGGTCCCGAGGCTTTCCTTTCTCTTCTCGCCTCGTGCTGTGTAAGCCACTGTAGCATCTGGGCTTGCGGGCATGTTTGGGCCTTGTTCCGTAATCATGAACAAATCTGTCGTACAATTAGAGGATTTGGCTCTATTATTTCTTAAATCAGATTGAGGCTGAGGTGATAGAGCCACATACTCAGCTCTGTACTGAACAAAATCCATGGATTATGGTTTCATGGGTCTTAAGATTTTAATCTTGAAGGGATATTTATCTTCTATTTTATGCGTTCAGTTCTATGATGCCACCCGTGGTCAAGGGTGAAACATTCAACCCTGACACGTTTAACTTGTCTTGGGAAGCAGCTTGCATTTTAATTTAAAAATAAGGTCAATTTATATCCATGTTTAAAAGAAGTAGTGGAAGCTTTATAAGTGATGTCATAGACACTAATAAGGGATTTGATCTTTCTTTTTTGTTACTGAGACTTGAAAGGTGGAACTTAAATACATATCTGCTACTTTTTTCTGCTGTTCTACTTTATATGTTATATTTGTGGTATCTTCCAATTCAGTATATATCTTATGCAGAATTTTTTCGTGAATTATTTTGGGTGGACAGACAAAATGGGCATGAAGGGAAGTCTTGCCAATGAAGAAGAAAATTCTTGGTGAACACGTGACAATGGGTACAATGTGTGTGCTAATTGTAAACTAAGCTCTGAATCCTAAAAGCACAATAGAATTGAATATGAATGTTTTATTTTCCCATGAAATAAACACTGCCCTTTGAAGATTTAATGCTGCAGTCACCCTTTATTCGTGCACACTTCCGTTTTTGCTATCTTTGCATTTCTCTCTGCTATAAGACGACTGTCCCTCCTTGATACTCTCAACTTTGAACTGCGTTTTGAGTTGATATTTTGGTTCTGGTAACAATAAAACATTTTAAGTTGTCAAGAAGAATCAAGGTTTATTCTCTGTCCTCCTTTTGCACACGCATCCCTGGAAAACACCATTCCCGCGTGACAGTGCGCACTTCATTTTGGAAAGACAGCGATGGAAATTAAGTGCTCTACCTTCAGTCTACGGCCATGGTTCCTTTACAGGCTCTTGGTACCATTCCTAGATTCAAATGTGACCCAGAATAGCACTCCGGCTCTCTACGGGTCTTGTATTACACTGCCGTGGCCTGGTTCCCTTCACTGCGCACAAGTCTCTGCCCAGTATCCCCTGTGCTCGGCTAACGTCAAATTGTCAGTAACAGATTTCATCCCCAAGAATAGAATTTGTTCTCATGACTCCCCATACATGCTGCAGCTTTGAAAACATCCATCTCGGTGCCAGAAATAAAGATGTTAAAAAATGTATGTCAAACCGTCCTTTGCAGACATGATAAGTGTGTGGGTGACTTATTAGGACTTCTCTGCTTTCTTCTCTATGATCTCACAGGCTTCTCAGTCCCTTTTGCAACTATTCCTTGTGAGAAAGAGAGGAATCGCCTAAGTCTGGTAGAGTCACACTGTTTAAAACTGGTAGGATAAATGAAGGACAAGAAAACAATGAGGTTCAAAAAAATGAAGTCAAAGAAGTACAGAGTTTATTTTCAACAAATGTTATAAATGTGTTGCTTTATTCTTACAGAATCCAGCAGTCCACGGACAGGAACAATTTATCCACAATAATACTAAAAAAATGTCGAGGTTTAGCAGTGGGTGGTATAGGTACAGTGTCTTGGTTTGATTATTGTCAATCATTTCCGAGCATGCTAAATTCCCTACCCGTGCTTCAGCTTCTAGATGTGTTGACGCTTCGCTCTGTCTCACGTCCAATTAATTATTTCTCATTATTCCTTCAATCCAAGTAACAAACCTTGACACACGAACATAGACACCAGGCTTATTGGGGCGGGCACAGCCAAGACCCCAAGAAGTGACTCCTTGTAAAATGTATTTGTCCTTCTCAAATCAAACCAGAGGCCCTCCACTGTCACCCTGTAAAGAGAGAGAAAAGAATCACGTGAGGAAAAAACCAGCCCCCTTTTATTATGGGATGTCATCCTTCTGTTTTCCAAATGTAAGCTTTCTGAGCACTTGAACATTCTTTTCCAATTAGAAGGAAACTTCTTAATGCGTTATTTGAATATCTTCAGTACTTAACAAGTGCTGAAGTGTTTCAGTCCTTCCCACTGGTAAGGCCACCACTGGAGTCCCATCCTCCAACATACTCCCCAGGTGTGTGACCTCTGACAGTGATGGTACTTAACTACCCCCTTACAACTGATCTGGAATTCAGGGCCCAAGGAATCCCCTTAGATTATCTCAATCAGCACTCAGGGACAGACCTAAAATGTTTCTGGGTAGCATTTGGACTGTGGCCTCCAGTGGACAAAGCCTTCCCGGATTTGCCACTTTGGGGTGGGAGTATCTAAGAGGCCAGCACAGGACAGCAGAAGACAACTTTATTTTTACCTGACAACTGTCGGTGCCCCCAGCCAGATTCCCAGCACAAAGCTCTGTGGATTTGACTCTTCCATTGAGAAACTCGTAGCGATTGCACACCTTGTTTTCAATCACAGGTAGCTGGGCTTCCTTGAGGAGACCAGCGCCAAAGGTCCCTGTGTTTAAAAAGATTAAGGAAATGGCTACCAGATCCAAAATATGCCCACAAGGAAACTTCTGGAACAACAGAACAGCGGTGACAGATCTCTTGTTTGACCATGAAGTTGTATAACGAAGTCAGTTCCTGGAGCGCCTGGGTGGCTCAGTCGGTTAGGCAGCTGACTTCTGCTCAGGTCATGATCTCACAGTTCATGAGTTTGATCCCCGGGTTGGGTTCTGTGCTGACAGCTCAGAGCCTGGAGCCTGCTTCGGATTCTGTGTCCCTCTCTCTCTCTGCCCCTCCCCTGCTCACATTCTCTCTCCCAAAAATAAAAATTAAACAACAACAACAAAAAAACTCGGTTCCTAATACTATCGGAATTCTTTTTACCTCTTGAAGGTATAAATGTTATATAAGATTTCATGTTCCCAAGACCTGGATTTAATAATCTGGGTTTCTTTATGGTGTTCTGGATTTCGTGTTATGTTTCTTTGGTTCTTTTTTTTTAACTATAAAGAAATCTTTTTTAATACGTAAAGAGAGATTGAGAAATACAAGTGTTACTATATCATATATTCACTTTCAGTCTTTTTTAGATGCTTTTTTTTTTTTTACTACTTATACCATATTGCATGATTTTATACCCTAGTTGTTTTCACACAATGTTATATAATAAGAGCTTTTTTCAGATGCTGCAATCTTTGTAATTGGGATTTTTTGTTTGTGTTTTGAGAGAGAGAGCATGAACAGGGGAGAGGCAGAAGGAGAAGAAGAGGAAATCTTAAGCAGGCTCCACATTCTGCCCTGGACCAAATGTGGGGCTTGAACTCATAGCCATGACATCATGACCTGAGCCAAAATCAAGAGTCTGATGCTCCATGAGCCATCCAGGTGCCCGTAATTAGTATCTTGATGGAGAGTGACTGCTTCCTGGGTGTGCAGTTTCCTTTTAAGGTGAGGAAAGTGTTCCAGAAATAGTGCACAGCATTGTAAATGTACTAAATGCTACTGAATCGTACTTTTCAAAATACTTAAAATAGTAAATTGTATGTTATATATATGTTACCACAATATGAAACAAAATAGCTGCCTTTTACTGGTATAAACTTGTTCAGGCACAAGCTCGTTAGGTGGTGTATCTCATTTAACCCTTACAACAGTCACACGAAATAGACACTTTCGTCATTCCTGCTGCACAGTGAAGGGAACTGAGGCTGGGAGAGGGTGTGTGGTTTGCCCAAGATCACCCAGCAAGTAAGCGGAAGCACCGGGATTGGAAGTGGGGTGTGTGACATCATTGGCCAGATTCTTCACACGGTGCTCCTGGGTTCCTACAGTAGTTATCTTTGTTCATGCATTTTATTTATATTCCTTAATATTTTCTTACCCTAGTTCCCAGAAATTATATAGATGTGTTTATGACTCCCGGTTAACATTGCCAAATTATTTTCTAAAAGTATATGACAGTATAAAATTTCGCTAGAAAGAAAGGGCCTCCACCCTGCACTTCTGAGTACTTAATAGATTTTTTAAAATATTTGCTGAAAATAAATAAATAAATAAAAATATTTGCTGATACGATAGGTGAAAACTGTCCTGGTTTCTTTCCTAATTCGCATTTATTTTCCAATTAGGAAGAATAAATACTCTCCCATATGCTTTTCTTATTTGTATTTCTTTTGTGAAAAACTGCTTTTTTTCCTACTTTGGCAAATTGAAATGGAACATTTGCCAAATAGCCAGAGGAAATGGTGCTTTTCCAGATAGACACACCCGGACATGTGCTGTCATAAAGAATCCAGCTTTCCAATTTTGCAAGCCCAGCTTTCACGTGTGTTGCAAAAAGTCATTGCTAGCACCGAACAGCCAAGAGACAGGGTGCTGCTTCTTCTCCAGAGGCTTTGACTAAACTTGGATAACTGCGTTGAGTTTGGAATACTTACCCTGGATCTGGAGCTGACAGGAGCGTGCAGGGGGATTACCACGTGGGAAGGAGAGGCTTGTCCCAGCCCTGGCTGGGCAGAGCCGCGGTGGAAGAAGGGCCCGAGGAAGCATCGGGTAGGGGGCACTTTACTTGAACCGAGTAGGTGTGTGGAGGGACCAGCCTTCTCCAAATATTTTGCTGAAAATTAATTTCTTCAGGTGTCTTGCTCTTGTAATCTGCTTTCTGAGCAAGACACATCCTGATGCTGGTGACAAAACCCACCACTAGTTGGCGGGAAATGGATGTGGTCTGTGCAGAAGTGCTGCCATCCTGCGGTCACAGTAGACATGGTGTTTCTGAGGGCCAGGAGGCTGAAGGTGTCCTAGGGATGACGCCCTGATACGGGGGCTTTGGGGAGAAGGAAGCAGCAGCCCCGGAAGCACTTTGTGATTGCTCATGCGGGGCTAACTGGAATGGGCCCCTCGGCCTTGCTTTGAAATATCAAGTCAGGGAATGTCTGGAGACTGAAAGGGAGAACGGGAGAGTTTTGACCTCACACTGAGTAGCTGAGAACACTGATCTGATGTTATTGTTGACATAAGAAAATCGGTAAACAGGCCTGACTTCTGCTTTGTGACTCCTCCTGGTTCAATGAGTTCACTGAGAATCATTTTCCCAGTAGACCGGAGGGTGAGGCCAGGATAGATGGAGGAAGCTAGTACAGGATGGCAGTTAGAAAACTGTGGCTGGTGGGTGAAATAGAAGAAACAGCAAATGGGCTTTAGTGGGTCAGGAAGGCCTGCGTTCCCTCAGGGTTCAGTAACCCACAGGCTATGTGATATTTACTGATGATGGTGATGGTGATGATGGTGATGATGGTGGTGGTGGTGGTGATGTGATGATGGTGTGAACAGTAATGGTAAGGTGGTGATGGTGAGGATGCTGATAGTCATGGCGCTGATGATGGTGATGATGGTGTGGACCATAATGGTCAGCGTGGTGACGGTGAGGAAGCTGTTGGTGGTGATGATGATGATGGAGGTAGTGGTGATGATGGTGGTGGTGGTGGTCATGTAATAGGCCCAGGAGCTGCTAACATACCATCTGCAAAGCGCTGAGCTCTTCATATGCATTATCTTAATCCTTGCAGTGACCTTACAGCATGGTACAGATGAAGAAACTAAACTCATAGAGACATTAAATCACTTCCTAATGTCACATGAAGCATGGCAGAGCCAGAACTCCCATTGTGGTCTATAGAAGTTGAAGTCCGTGC